CTAAAAGGGTGTCCGGAGGCCATACTCTCAGGGTTTCTCCAGTCTCTGTCAGGCCAGTAAGTCTGGTCTTTTTTTGTGAGTTGGAATTTTGTTCTGCGTTTTTCTCCAGCTCTGTCCGTGATCCTCTGTTGTGATCTCAGGGCATAAATTTAACTACGTTCCAGATACCCAACTGTTCAACATTTTATTGATTTCATTGATTTGGTGAGGTTACATAGGAAATGGGCATTTTCTGCCATAAGGAAAAAAAATTGGACTAGTATTAAAAAGTACTCTTATAATACATTACCTCTTTGGAGACTAATATTTGAAAAACAGTTCTATGTTAGAACATGAGAAACAGCATATTAATAGTTGTTCTCATGAATCTAGTTTTCAGGAGACACTGGACCTAAATTAAAGAAAAAAATTTCTCTTAATTATGTGTATGTATCTTGTGATGCCCCTAGTTCTTTCTGGGGAGAAGGTGATTGATAAGGTATATTTAAAGTAATTGTTTGACAGCAGTAATTTAGAGTGCTTATTATGTGCCAGACCTTGTTCTTCACAATTTACATATATAAACTCATTTATCCCTGAGAGGAGGAAATTGAAGTAGGTTATTTGCTCATAGTCACACAGCCAGTTAAGTGAGGAGGTCAGGATTCAATCCTGGGCTGTCTGGCCTTAAACTCTGCTGTCGTTTGGAAAGGAGCCCTGGTGGCACAGTGGTTAAGAGCTCAGGCTGCTTACCAAAAGGTCAGCAGTTCGAGTCCACTAGCTGCTCCTTGGAAACCCTATCCGGCAGTTCTACTCTGTCCTGTAGGGTCGCTGTGAGTCAGAATCTGCTCAACGGCAACAGGTTTGTTATTGGTATCTTTCGAAAATACGATGTTTCAGGAAGGCAGTAAGTAGTCTGATGGCCTGCAAAGTTATTTTATGCTTTGGGTGATTTTACGTATTGGGTGATAAGTTATTTACTAGGGTTTGTTTTTATTAAAAAAAAAAAAAAAAAGTTAAAGGAAATTCTCTTTTGCCGTAGGGTTGCAGAGGCAAATCTAACTGAAATGTAAATAGAAGATTTATTTTATGTTTCCATCAGGTACGACCAAAACTGCCACTTTTGAAGATTTTGCATGCAGCCGGTGCACAGGGTGAAATGTTCACTGTTAAAGAGGTAAGTCACCAGAGAAAATTCTTGAGCGTCACTTTAGCTAAATGATTTAAAAACATGGGAGAAGTAGAAGTATGTCATTCTGTATTTGAGTTGCTGACAGTACTGTGAATCCTCTGTACTCTGTACATGGTTTCTTTTATGTATGTTTAGGCCTACGAAAAGGAATTGTTCTCCTGAGGTACTGGAGGAACAACTTTTGCTCTGTTTTAAAAAGATCATCTAGTTCCAGTTGAACTTCTATTTCCTTTTTTAATTTTATTTTGTCACAGTTGAGAATATTCACAGCAAAGCATGCACCAGTTCAACCTTTTCTACACGTACAATTCGGTGACATTGATTACATTATTTGAATTGTGCAACCATTTTCATGCTCCTTTTCTGAGTTTTCCTCCCCAATAACATTAACTCACTGTCCCCTAATGTTCCTATCTCGTCTTTTGAGTTGCTGTTGTCGGTTGGATCCCATATAGATAAATCTTAAAAGAGCGTAATGTTCTAGGCAGACATTCTTTACTAGTTAAGCTAAACTGTTGTTTGGTTTTAAGAAGACTTCAGGGGGTATTTTTGATGTAAGGTTTAAAGATTATCTTATGGAAATAGTTTCAGGGTTCATCTAGCCTCCATGTCTCCAGGAAGTCTGGAGTCCTTAAGAATTTGAAATTCTGTTCTGCATTTTTCCCATTTTGATCAGGATTCTTCTATAGATTCTTTGATCAAAATGTTCAGTAGTGGTAGCCAGACACCATCCAATTCTGGTCTCATGGCAAAGGAGGCAGTTGTTCACGGAGGCAATTAGCCACACATTCTATATCCTCCTCCTCTTCCTGACTCTCCTTCTTCCTCTGTTGCTCCAGGTGAATGGAGACCAATTGTTAAGCCTTGAATGGCCACTTGCAAGCTTTTAAGACTCCAGGCACTACACAGCACACTAGGAGGTAGAGCAGAAGCACTAAACACATTATTAGGCCAATTAACTGGGATGTCAATATTTGTCCTTCTGACTGACTTATTTCACTTAGTATAATGTGTTTAAGTTCCATATTGTAGCATGTATCAAGACTTTGTTTCTTCTGCTGGCTAAGTAGAATTCTGTTGTATGTCTGTACCACATTTTGTTTATCCATTCATTTCTTGATGGGCATTTAGGTTGTTTCCACCTTTTGGCAATTGTGAATAGTGCTGCAGTGAACATTGATCTCTTTTTGAGTCTCTGCTTTTGGGTATATATCTATATACCTAGGAGTGGAATTGCTGGGTTATATGCTAGTTCTATTTTTAGTTTTTTGAGGAACCGCCACACTTTTCCACCATAGGTGTACCATTTTGCATTCCCACCAGCAATGGATAAGGGTTCCAACTTACCCACATCCACACCAACATTTGTTATTTTTTTTTATCTTAGCCATTCTGATGGGAGTGAAATGGTATCTCATTGTAGTTTCGATTTGCATCTCTGATGCTGAGCATCTTTTCATGTGTTTGGTGGCCATTTGAATGTCCTGTTTGGGCAAGTGTCCACTCAAGTCCTTTGCCCATTTTATTTGTCTTTTTTGTTGTTAAGTTGTTGAAGTTTTATATATATTTTGGTTATTAGATTCTTGTCAGATATATGGTTTCCAAAGATATTCTCCCAGTCAGTAGCTTTTCTTCTTACTTTTTGGTAGTCTTTTGATGAACAAAAGTTTTTAATTTTTATGAGGTCCCATTTATTTAGTCTGTTGCTGTTTGTCTTTTGTTATTATATTAAATAACCCATTGTTAAAAGCTAGGCCCAACAGCATTGCCTTGGCTTTTTCTTCTAAGATTTTTTTGGTTTTAGTTTGCACAATTTAGGTTCGTAATCCATTTTGAATTTGTTTTTGTGTATCGTGTGAGGCATGGATCGTGTTTCATTTTTCTGCATGTGGAAATCCAGTTTTCCCAATACCATTTATTGAAGAGACCCTTCTTTCCCCATTGAATGGACTTAACACCCGTGTCAAAAATCAGTTGACCATAGATACATAGGTTTATTTCTGGACTCTCAGTTCTATTCCATTGGTCTGTGTGTCTGTTGTTGTACTAGTACCAGACTCTTTTGATTACTTTGCTGTATAGTATATTTTAAAATCAGGAAGTGTGAGTCCTCCTACTTTGTTCTTCTCTTTCAACATTGGTTTAGCTATTTGGGGCCTCTTGCCATTCCACATAAAGTTGAGGATTGGTTTCTCCATTTCTGTAAAGAAGACTGCTGGAATTTTTATTGAGATTGCATTGAATCTATAGCTAGCTTTGGGTAGTATTGACATCTTAACAATATTAAGTCTTCCAACTCAAGAACACGGAGCATCTTTCCATTTATTTAGGTCATCTTTCATCTCTCGCAGCAGTGTTTTATAATTTTCATTGTTTAAGTCCTTCACGCTCCTGGTTAGATTTATTCCTAGGTATTTTATTCTCTTACATGCTGTTGTAAATGGAATTATTTCCCTTTCAGATTTCTCATTGCTGGTGTATAGAAACCCGACTCATTTTTGTTTGTTGACCTTGTACCCTGCAACTTTGCTAAATTCCTCTATTAGCTCTAGAAGTTTTCTTGTGAGCTCTTTGGGTTTTTCTGTATACTGGATCATACTATTCGCAAGTAGAGATAATTTTACTTTTTCTTCTCCAATCTGGATGCCTTTTATTTCTTTTTATTGTCTTATTGCTCTGGCTAGGACTTCTAATACAATATTGAATAGAAGTGGTGAGAGCGGGCACCCTTGTCTTGTTCCCGATTTGAAGGGGAAAACTCTCAGTCTTTCTCCATTAAGTATAGTGTTGGCTGTTGGCTTTTCCTGTATGCCTCAAATCATACTGAGGAATTTCCCTTCTATTCCAGTCTTCTTTAGGGTTTTCTTCAAGAAAGAGTGTTGGATTTTATCAAATGCTTTTTCTGCGTTCATAGAGATGATCATGTGGGTTTTTTTTTTTCTTTGTTCGTTCTATTGATGTGTTACATTGATTGATTTTCTGGTATTCAGTCATCCCTCCATTTCTGGAATAAAGCCCACTTTATCATGATGTATGACTCTTTTAATATGCTGTTGGATTCTGTTCACTAGTATTTTTTTGAGGAATTTTGCATCTATGTTCATAAGAGATATTGGCCTGTAGTTTTCTTTTCTTGTGGTGGTCTTGTCTGGTTTTGGTATTAGGATTGTGTTTGTTTCGTAGAATGAATTAGGGAGTAGTACTTCATATTTCCTTTAAAGTTCCTTTTGAAGTGTATTGTCAGCTAAACATGAGATTAACCATGAGTTCATTGATCTCAGAGTTAAAATATAAAATGTACAAGATTAAAAAATGACACTGCCTGTGATTTACTGGATATACTGCCAGCCAGGAATTAAATGCAGTAGCTTTTCATTATAAATGTGTCAGATATTCTTGTGAACACTATGAGTTATTTTAAACACTTATGCATTTAAATAACTTACTTAGCTTCTAAAGTTCTTCTTTTGTTCTAAAACAAAAACAAATTGAATTCTTTAAGTGGGAAAGACTCAGGATTGAAATGTTAATCTGTGGGACTGGTTGCATTTAGTAGGGTGAAGAGCTAACCCTTCCTAAACAGGAAGCAAAATTATCATGCTTTTAGTTTTCTTAAAAACTCAATACCTATTAGCACTGCTCCACTGCTGCAACATTACACCTCTTAAGGAATCAAATCTGGAGGCATTTCAGATTTTCTAGAGTATCCATATTTCCTTTATCATTGTAGATTACATGCATCATTTTGAACTAGGTCTCTAAAACTCTGATGAGGAAAGCTTTTCTCCAAACTGTTAGTAAGTGGAGAGTTTTACATCAAATTTGTCATGCTATCTCCTTCAGTAGCATGCCAGAGTTTGCCTGTGTTGAGAAGAAATTGTAAGTACATGTCATCCAGGGAGAATATTTTACTGGAACAGTTAGAAAAATTCAGTTTAGATGATTAAGCTTTCTGTGAACCTTGACCCTACCTAATGCATAAAGGGGAATTTTCTGATTTTTCTTTTTAAATCTTGGTTCTCAGTGTGTGCCTTGAGACTGCAGTGAAGTAGTAGTACTGTATACAAATGTAGAATAGTGTTTTACAATATCCTATTTTGTATACTTAGAGTAGGAGCCCTGGTGGTACAGTGGTTAAGCGCTTGGCTGCTGACCAAAATGGTGGTGATTCGAACTCACTAGCCACTCTGCGGAAGAAAGATGTGGCAGTCTGCTTCTGTAAAGATTTACAGCCTTGGAAATCCTATGGGGCAGTGCTCCGCTGTCCTATAGGGCCGTTATGAGTTGGAATTCAGATCCACGGCAGTGAGTTTGGTTAGCTTGGTATACTTAGAATAGATTTATCTTTTCTGAAAGTTGGGCAGACATAAATATAGAACTTTCTCTAGTTGATGCTCCTCCCCATATTATTTTCCCCTAGTTTACTCAATTGTTTATTAGCTATGAGAGTTCAGCTAATCTGTTAATACTGGGACATGTTGCCAGGGAAGTAGGAGGATTAGGAAGGTGTGAGGTGGGGAAGTAGGGGTGGGGAGTAGCTTTGCCTAGGAGCATCATTGCTTCAATATGATGGGAAGAATGTTGTAAAAATATTATATGCAAATATCTAATATATTCCTGAGAATTTAGGGCCTGAAGATAAAGATAACTGCTTTGGTCTACTTGTGATCTGTGATAACAAAATTCTTACTTACATCATTAAGTGAACTTAACTATTAAGTGAAAAAAAATTTTGTTTGAATCTACTACCTGGGTAAAAGCATTTCTTTTCAACATTTAATTATTTTAGTTTTTTATAAAATTCAACTAAGTCCATTTTCAGAAGATAGGTAACAAGCTGGATGATATAATAAAGGTTATATGAAACGCTTTATCTACATTTTAGATAACTTTTAAAATTTGAATTGTGAAGTTGTGTGTGTTCCCTCAATTTTGTGAACTATGAGAAAAACAGCCAGATAAACTAAATTGATATTGGATAAACATTTAGATTCTGTGTTTTGTGCACTTACAGTATTAAACATTGTACTCATTTGCCAAAAGAATTAAGTGAACATACATCAAAAGCAAAGAGTAGTTGTTTATTGGCCCCTGGACTTGGAAAATATTTTAATGACCCAGGCGAATTTAAAATTTATTACTTCTGGTAATAGAACAGACTCTTTTTATAAGATTTGGACTGGCAAGAATACTAAGGGAAAACTAAGTTAATACTAATGTTAAGCGAATACTAAGTATATTCACCACTTTTTCTCATTGTTTGATCAGTACATTTCTGTGCTAAGAGTCCAGGTCTGTTGATTTCCCAGAACGACAATGAGTGGATGAACCTAGCAGTTGGGGGCAGTCATCCTGCTGTAGGATCGCTTGCACAAACACTCTGAATTTCTGACAGTCATGTCCATAAGTATGAGTCCTCTCTTCCTCCTGCAAACGAACTTCCTTTATCAACTCATCGTTTGTGTTTTTTTTGGCAGTAGCTGGACAGGTCTCTTCATGGTACTTTGTTCCCGTGCAGGTCATGCAGTATCTAGGCCAGTACATCATGATGAAGCAGCTTTATGATCAGCAGGAGCAGCATATGGTTTATTGTGGTGGAGATCTTTTGGGAGAACTACTGGGACGTCAGAGCTTCTCCGTGAAAGAGCCAAGGTAAAAAGAGCGAGGGTTTTGTATTTCTTTTTGGATGCTTTTACCCAGCCATTTAACCTCATAGGTTATTAATGATTATTTACTCATTTAGTCAACAAATATTTAAGAGCCTACATATGTCAGGTGGCCTCTGAGGCACTGAGAATACAGTGGTGAGCAACATGGACACAGTCCCTGGTTTTATGGAGTTTACAGTGTAGTGATACGGGTATTAATTAAATTATCACACCAGTACATGGTAAAATTACACTCAGTGTTGTAGAGGGGGATTTAGGGCCATAGGGGTCAAGGTAAGGTTTCTTAAGGAAGTCACATTTGAGCTGAGAGCTGAAGGATAATTAAAGAGTCAGAAGGGATTGGTTGAGGAGAGCTTCAAGCAGATTGAACATCATGGGTAGGAACATCCCTGGGTAGGAGGGAGCTTGATGTGGTTAGGCTGGAATGTTGTAAAATACTTGCTGGAGAGAGAACAACAGTGAGCTGATGAGAGAAGTGTAGGATTTCTGGACAGTTTGAGGTTGATGATCATGAGCATAGTAAGAATCACAGTGATGCTAATCTGACCTGTTTGTGACTTTCTTCTCCTTCATGGGGAAATATGGTCATTAGCTTATACAGTCAAAAGCTCATTAGTAATGAGAAGCCAGGGTTCTCTTTCTAACTCTCTAGCTTTGTCATGACTGTTGCTGCTGACCTTGTCTGGTCGTACTTCCATAACTCCCCTGTACTCCTACCCTACTCCCCAATTAAAATATGAAATTTAACTTTCGGAAGAAGAAATTCTCTCCAAAGGAGAGAAACCCACTTGGGTTACTGTTAGCTAATGAAATAAAATGTAAACTAATTAATTTTTGAATGAAGGCAAAGTATCACAAGGACCTGGGTATTATAATATTGATGTTTAAAAATCTATTATGGGGGGGAAAAAAATCTGCCTCTCCATACCTTATAGAGAAAGTTGGAAGATATCATATCAGAAATATATTTAACATTTAGTGGCAAATTGCCAGTGTCTTCAGAGTGGTATTTTGGTTTGTTAATTTTTATTTTATCTCTTTAACAGCCCTCTCTATGATATGCTAAGAAAGAATCTTGTCACTTTAGCCACTCCTGCTACAGGTATGTCACATCATATTTCTTCAGTCTGTGTCACAGCTTTGAGTTCAAGGGGGCAAATGGTGGCAAAGCAAGGAGGCTCAGGATGGAAATGGAATGCTGTCTTTGGCATGATTGGGAGAGAGATAAACTGCTTGTCATACAGTGTTATTACTCTGCTATTTAACTTATTATTGTGAAACATTTCAAACATACTGAAAATAGAATAGTGTAATTGATGCCCACCTCCTAGACTTAGTAATTATTAACATTTTGCTACGTTTTGCTTTATATACTTAAAAAGCAGATAAGGACTTTTTCCCTTCAGAGATGACTACAATGCTGTTACTACACCAGACAAAATTAATAATAATTTCATAACACCATCTAATAGCTTTTATGTATTGTTTTCTTCAGTTATCTTGAAAATATCTTCTACATTTGGCTTGTTCAAATCAGAATCCAAAGTCCACACATTACATTTGGTTGATACGTCTCTTAAATGTCTTTAATCTGTAAAATGTAGCCCTGCTTTTGTTTTCATATTATTTATTTGTTGAAGAAATGGTCATTTGTCCTGTAGAGTTGGCATATTGTATCCTTGTGATGTTTAACCCTAGTTTTGGTAAATTAGTAGTTAGATCTCAGTGCTTGAATAGACAGGTTTAAATTTTTTTAAAAGCTTCGTAGGTGGTGCTTTGTATTTCTGTTGCATCACAGCAAAAGTCATGTAAGGTCTGCCTGTCCCTCTTTTATTGATGTTAAGATTCTGTGGGCTGAAGCGGTGTTAGCCTGGTCCATCTGTTATAAGGGTCCCCTAAGAACCTTTCAGCTAATGGTTTTAAACCCATTCTTGAGTCGATTCTGACTCATAGTGACCCTATAGGACACTGTTTATTTATAGGACAGAGTAGAACTGCCCCATAGGGTTTCCTAGGCTGTGATCTTTATGGAAGCAGACTGCCACAGCTTTCTCCCGTGGAGTGGCTGGTGGGTTCAAACTGCCGACCTTTTGGTTAGCAGCCGAGCACTTAACCTCTGTGCCACGGGGGCTCCCTCTAATGGTTTTAATGCTCTGTTATTTGTATGCCAGTTTGTCTAAACCTTAACTTGAGTCCATACTTTTTAAATACTGCCTTTTGAGTTTATTAGATAATATGCAGGAAACTGCTTTGGGGTCTGAAGTCCCCAGAGTGTTGGTATGTTAGAGCTAAGTGAATCAGCTGGATGCAGTTGATAATGTAAGCTTATCTCTCACCATCTGCAAATAATGAAACTTTTTTTTTCCCTCCACTTCTACATCAAGCTCTTTGTGAGCTTCAAATTAGATTTTAGGTAACGTTGTCCTTTGAATAAAGCCCAAATTTGTAATCTCTTTAGATTGACTGTCTTTTGATAGTTTACTAAAATAAATAGTTTGAAAAGAATTCATCCCTAATAAAGATTTATTCTTTAAAGTGAGAGAAAGAGACTTTGCTCTCATATTGGAATGTGATTTTGAACTTAATATGAATTTTGAAGCCTGTTGGTTTTATTGAGCCATTTGTCCACAGCAGAAGACCTGCTTCTGGAGCTGTAAATTTCTGTTTGAAAGGGAAGGCCTTGCAAACACTATGGCAGCTTTATTGAAATTTAGTCATTTGTGAGTGGTTTTCCTAGGATAGTCATGAAAAATGCTTGAAACACATGGAAGATTGTATAATTGCTCGATCTACTCTTTCAGTAAACTATGTTTTCTGTTGATCTGTTCGCTGAATATCTAGAGTGGTATAATTCTCACTTTTTTTTCCTCTCTCATTTTCTTGCACTTTCTCTGCAGAATTTATATATATGTGTGTGTGTGTGTGTGTATATAGATACGTATATATAGTATTATATATATATATTATACATATAAAATATATATTCTAATGAACATTCCTATTTCAGTTGACCCTCACAACTCTGTGAGGAAGGTCTGGAGATAATGAAGCTGAGATTTTTTTAATAGGTTGAGTGACTTGCCTAAGATCACACAACACTGATAAGTGGTGGAGCTGAGATTTCTGACTAGCTAGTGCTCGCTCTTTGCATCGTGCCATACATACACTGATGTCTCCTTTAGCCTTCGCCTGTAATAGAATTTGCCCCAAGTTAGTTTTTAACACATTTTTTTTTCTCTGAACGTTAAATTTTTAAATTTTTTAACTGGTGATTTTGAAGTAATTTCAGTTTTACAAAAAAGTTGCAAAAATGTTATAAAGAGTTCCCATGTACTCTTTACCCAGATTCCCCAAATGATAACATCCTGCATAACCATAGTACAGTGATCGAGAGCAGGAAATTGCCTCAGGGAATAGCTGCTTTGACTTGCGCTTGCACTGATTTTTGTGGTTGGCCATCTCTGTTGAGCTTCATAAATTTCGTAGCATGTGTTTTATTTGAAAGGATAAATGAGAAAAATGCTTTCCACATCACCCATTTTACAGCTTTACAAATGGGCTAAACCTTTTATTTGATGGTTGAAGAAAATGCTGTTATTTAAAGTGAAGGTGGTTCTTTCTAAATCATTCTTCCATGTTTCCCCATGTATTCTGATAAAACGAAATAGGTATGACACACCATGTATTTATTTAAAAATGCCTTTGTACGTTGTAGTTTTCCCAGAGATAATTTCTTTTTGTCTTTTTGCTTCTAATTATTTTAACCTAAGTAAGGTAGTAAAGCTTTAGAACTACTAATGATAGTAATAGAATTGCTTTATTAAAGCACCGTTTCATTTGCATTGTATGTTAATTGAACTTTGCTTTGAAGACCACTGTGGTCAGAACATGCTATCTTTTGAACCTTTCAGTATCTCCATTTACCTATAAAAAAATCTTTAGAAATAATGCTTTTTATAATTACAGTTTTGAAAATGTTTGCTTTGTGCAAAATTGCTGAGTTTCCTGACCAGTAGTAGGATCAGTACTTTTTCTCTGGCAGTCTTTATTAGATGAAGATGATGTTTTCCCTAAGTGTCTTAACTCTGGACCTTAATAGTGGCTGATGAACTTGATAGACTTATTTGGGTGCGTCTCCATTATATAACAGTCTCATATAACAACTGGTCCAGGTTATTCAATTCTCTGCAGCTTGTTGTACACCTATAGCCAAGTTTTCCCCTTCTTTTGTGCTTGAAAAATTCCTAAGTCCTTGAAATACATTTCTGTCTTAAACTAATGCAGTATCTAAAAATTTGTCTCTGTTAGATTATTGTTTTCTTTGCTTCTTTTTATTGGCATTGAGAAAAACTTCATCTGCTTCCTCTTCCTTCTTAGGAAATGTTTATAGTAACTGGGAACGATAAGACTCATTGAAAAAAATCTAATCTATATTTAGACAATGGGGATTTAAACCATGAAATCTTAACTGACACTTGGATTATAGGTTTGCAGGAAAATGCTATTGTGTTATGAAGCAAGTAGGGAAAATTCCAGATTTTAGATCTAATAACCCTGTATAACTTTTAACACGTGAAAAAAAAATATAATTAAAAAACCAAATACTTTTTCTTGTTTGTTCACAAGTTAGGCAAATTTAGTAATAAACACCTACAGGAAGAGTTGATAAAAATACTTTTATTTCCTGCTTGGAATCACTTTTCTTATAAAAACTTAAAAGCTTACTATGGAAGAACATTTTTAGCCATTTTGAGTCATTTTTTCATTTTCCCCCAGGTTATGGTTTGGTAAAATATTTTCAGTGTGGCCTGACTTGGTCTTTGCCATTTTATCAGTTTTGATTTTTCCCTTCCTGCCAATGAGAGCCTTGTCCAGCCAACATGGAAAAGTACATCTCTAGGGACCAAACCTGGCTCCAGGGTTGTTTGCTGAGGTCCTTTTTGTCTGGAAAGAATGGTTATTACCAGGGAAGGTTTTCCTTTTGTTTTACTTGCTATCCAGATGCTGCTCAGACTCTCGCTCTCGCACAGGATCACAGTATGGATATTCCAAGCCAAGACCAACTGAAGGTAAAATCACCACACGGTGACTTCTTTTGTTGTACAGAGTGGCCCCTTCTCTGTACCTGTGGATCTTGGACTCCCAAGACCTTTCCCCAAGTGTGGTAAGAATTTAATAAGAAAGGTTCTTGGGAGTTCATAGACCAGGGACAGAGTGAACCTTCTCTGTTCTGCCCATAACAGAGTTCCAGTCTCTGAATCTTTCTTTGGGATGTAGCACTTCTAATCTTCAGTTCTTCCAGTTGCAATTTCCTTGGAGTCTGTGTGTACCTGTGTGTGTGTGTGTGTGTGTGTGTGTGATTGTGTATATACACGGGTGTTTGAGGTAACTGGTTTTTTAGAATTTAACAGACAATTAAGTTCATGTCAGACCATTTCTTAAAGCTCCCCCAAACCTGGGAAAACTTTATGATCATCTTGTTATATGTTGATGGTTTCACATGTTTTCTGAGTTGTGCCTGATTTTATAGTAGGCGAGAGGCTTTATACTGACAGTCTGTTTATAGTGGTAGATTTTGGCCTTTTGTGCAGAGATATTTTTCTCTCAGGTGTGGGCTTCTCCCAGTTCTGTTTACCGTGGGTTGAGGAGAGGTGGTACCTTTATTTGGTGACTGTTGTGTACTCCGGAGTTAGCTTTCTTGTGTGTAACCTATTGTGTTGCACGCTAACTGGTGAGCCAGAATGGAACTGCTACATCCCCTGGTCTCAGTTATTTCTACTGCACTGATAGACACCTTTCCCTTCTTTTCAGCAAAGTGAAGAGGAAAGTTTGAACTCCAGGAAAAGAACCGAAGAAGGCAATGTTCCCTTGCTGCCTACCTCACAGAATAACTGCAAAAATTCAAGACAAGGTAAGTTTTTGATTAAGGCCTTGTAGACTTTTCTTTTTTTGTTGTTACTCTTTGTGATTTTAGAAGTGGTATTTACTCATATTAAGCATTAGCTGCAATTAAGACCATTATAGAAACTTGTACGTAGAGAACTAAAAAGATAATTAATGCTGTCTCCTCTCATGCTGTAGTAGGGAGGGGGTTGGTACATCGCCACTTATTTCTCATTGTTTTCTAAAAACCGTTTTTTCAACCTAGTCAGCATTGTTAACATTGAAGAAGACAGTAGTGCTCTTTTAGTGATGAATGATTACTGAGGTGGAGCCAGACCCTTCCATTAGCCAGCGTGCTAATAGAAGACAGCTCCACGTGTATCACTGCCGCCTGGTACATTTTCTGTAGAGGTGAACTCAGCTACCTTGGCCTTTCTTCATCTTGGCACCCTTGTTTATATTTGGTCTGCTTAGAATTTTTATTTCCATTTGTCTGTTTGAGGCAAAGGTTACTTTTCACAGATTTTGCAGGTTACAAAGATGATGAAACGTCCCTAAATTTTCAGAGCCAAGGATGAGATCTAAGAACCCTAGTTCCCTTGCACTTAGGTGATAGTAGGTATTTGCCATCCATATTTTATGTATGGTATTGTTTGGCCATATGAGTTAACCACTATTTTGGAAGTTTCCATAAAATCCCACTGTATCTTTCAAAATCGTGAGGTTTTTCCTGCAAAGATGTATAGAATCATAAATTCCCCAAAGGTATCTTAAGGCATGCTGGTTTCTAGTCCAGTGAGTACCTGGTTCACATTTGCAGAAATGGCAGGTTAGTTTTCTAGCAGCGCCCCAGAAAGTTACGCTGCTGAAGTTGTTTAAAATGTTTAAATTAAATTTGAATCAGTTTATCATGCTAGATTGTTTGCTTCAAATTGGATTTGAATCTATACCGAATTTTGGGCTACCTAGTTACCTTGCAGCTATTCTAGTCTGTATGGTATTAAATGTGTAATTTTGTTGTTTTTTTTTTAAACACTGGTCCTTGTTTATTTTCTGCACGAAAGGCTGTCTAAAATATAAGAACAGCTGATTCAAGAGACTGTGTAGTTTGTGATGGAAATTTTGGTATTATTTTCAGGGTGACCTATAAGTAGAAAGGACAGATTTTTTTTTTTTTTTAATTGTTCCTTAGATGAAGGTTTACAGAACAAATAGTTTCTCATTAAGCAGTCAGTACACATGTTTATGACGTTGGTTAACAGCCCCACGACATGTCAGTACTCTTCCTTCTCGACATTGTAGGACCTTTTTTTTTTTTGGTGAAAATATACATAGCCAAAGTTACACCATTTCAAATGTTTCTACATGTACAATTCAGTGACATCGATTACATTCTTCCAGTTGTACTGCTGTTCTCACCATCCTTTTCCAGATTATTCCATCACCATTATCTTCAACTCACAGCTCCCTAGGCTTCCCATCAAACCTTTTGAGCTGCTGTTGTCATTTTTATCTCACATAGACAATTCTTGGTCTTTTTTTTTTGTACCTTAGACGAAGATTTACAGAACAAATAGTTTCTCATTAAACAGTACACATATTGCCCTATGACAATGGTTAACAACCCCATGACATGTCAACACTGGAAAGGACAGAATTTTTAATTACGGGAAGAATGACCTGTTTCCATTTTCTTCACAAGAAGTTGTAGAATCTGAATTGGTGGGGATAACATTAATACGGCATCGTTTCAGGAATTTGGATTCTGATAATTTCAGCAATGAATAAGTAAAAAGGTAGTTGAAGTTTCCCTTGGCACGGATATGCCTTTTAATAGGCAGAATTGGCATAATTCATAAGTAGATATTGTTGTTAGGTGTCGTCAAGATGATTTCAACCCCTGATGACCCCATGTGACAGAGTAGAACTGCCCCATAGAGTTTTCTAGGCTATAATCTTTACAGGAGCAAATCACCAGGTCTTTCTTCCACAGAGCAGCTCCGTAGGTTCAAACCACCAACCATTCAATTAGCAGCCACGCATTTAATCACTGCACCACCAGGGCTCCTTTTGTAAGTAGATATAGGAACCTGTTGTTCTGGCAGGGACCTATTTATTGCAGAAATTCTTCCAATCATATATACCTCAGCACATTTAAGCACCCGTGGTTGCCGTTGGCAGGCCTTGTGCCTTGGGAAGAGGTGGAAGAGAGTGAGAAGACAGGAAGAGAGTAAAGCACAACAAAAAAGACTAAAGGACAGGGAAGAAGGCAGAGAATTTCATGTGGTAGCAACAAACTTACGTTAGTAACTGCCTTGAATGTCATTCATATGTACAACATGAGACCTTTTACCTGGGCTGTGTGGGGCCTTAATATGTTGTAGATTTGTAGTATTTCTACATTTTAGGTATCTTAACTCCAAAAGAGCCCATGGATCCAGCAAGGGCATGTGTACATATTTATTTGGACAGTGTAGAGTTCAGTGTTTTATACTAGTTGTCACCTACTAAAACATGACTTATCGAGAATGTCCCAAACCACAGTGTCAGTGAGGCTGCCTTGACAACCTGGTTGCCCATCACTGTACTGCCTTGTCGCAGTCTCAAGGCTGGGGCCGCTGCATACGCTGTAACCATTTGCAGTCCAATGGATCAAGCCATGAACAGGCACCAGGTGCTATAATACATGGCAAGTCATTCTTTAGTTATTAGTCTTTAGTGGTAGGGGTGTTTAAAATACCGGTAAATGACCATTTAAAAATCCTTTTAGAATAATTCAATTGTTGTGGGTGCTTTCAGGGTTTAGATTCCTTGGTAAATGATCATCTATTTCTAATGTCATTACTTGCTAATGAAGCCTAAACTGTGGAGGAAATTTGGGCTCTGCAACTGAGACAGATATTTGACTTCTGATTTTCTTACTGGAAATAGGAATTTCTTTGTAGCTGTCTTATAAAGAAGTTGTAAGTATTATAAAGAGAGAGACTTGATTCTTAAGTGTTGTGTACATAGTCATCATCCTTTTCATTTGACTTCTGTAGATGAAGACTTGATAGAAAATTTAACCCCAAATAAGAAATCTGGGCTGGACCTCGGGTTTGAGGAGTGGGATGTAGCTGGCCTGCCTTGGTGGTTTTTAGGAAACTTGAGAAGCAACTATACACCTAGAAGTAATGGCTCAACTGATTTACAGACAAATCAGGTAAATCTCACATTTGAAGGGGAACTTAATTTTTTTCTTTTGAAAGGGTAGCATTGTTGGTTACTCTTGACCACTCATTTCATTCTTTAAGAATTCTTGTTCAGTGCTAATGGCCTTAAATACCATCTATGTGCTTATGATGCCCAAATCTACCTCCAGCCCAGCTCTGCCCGAATGCCCAACTTCATATCCAGCTGTCTGCTCAGCACTTCCACTTAGATGATCATATGTTTAACATGTTCAAGATAGAACTCTTGATTTTTTTTTTTATACCAAACACTGCTTGTCTAACCTTTCCATTTGAATGAATGATCCCCATCATCTACCCAGTTATTTTGACCAAATATCAAGGCGATATCATTGATTTCTTTTTCTATCATACAACACTTCCAGGTTATCACTTCTTTATCCAAAACATATCCTAAATCTAACTAACCACTTTTTATTACTTCCACCACTATAACCCTAATTCAGGCCATCCTCATTTTTCCCTTAGGTACTGCAGCAGCCTCACAACTGGTCTCCCTGCATCTGTTCTTGCCCATCTAATAGTTCAGTCTTCTCAAAGAGTACATTTTTAAAAGGATAAGTGAGATCGTATCACTGCCATGTTTATAATTCTCCAGTGGCTTCACATAGCAAGTAGAATACAGTCTAGACTCCTTACCATAGCCACTACTGATCTGGCCCCCTCCTATCACTCTTCTATATGCATTCCAAACACATAGGCCTCTTACTGGACTCTAATCCACAATTTCTTTCTTCCTCAGGCACTATAAATTTTTTTCTTTCCTCTTTCTGGAACATTCTTCCCCTAAGTGCTTTCACTACTGTCTCATGATTCAGACCTCAGCTCAAGTGTAATTTCCTTAGAGAGATCATCCCTGGCCACCAAGACTGTCATGTTGCACAGTTCCAGGGAGATCCATTTACTTGTTATTTTGGAGCTGTGTGTTTATAAGTGGTGTTCCCAAAAAAGCTACTCCTAGTTAAAATAGCTGCCTCTCAGCTACTCTGCTGTTTTATCTTTTATTATATTCTCAATTGCATTTCTCACTTTGTGAAAATATTATTATATTTTGTTTATGTACTCTTTGTCAGTTTATGTCTACTGAAGTGTAAGGCTGGGGCCTTGTATTATTCCCTACTCTGTCACCACTGCCTAGAACCAAGAACAGCTGGCATATAACAGGCATTCAGTATTTGTTCAATAAACGAATGAGCGTATAACAGTGGTAAAATAATGAATTGTCTTTCATGAATGTTATAGGAAACTATGTTATAAGATATGTACAGATGGATGCAGAAAGTAAGTTCTGTATATTTAAAGTTGTTTAAGAGTTCAGAAAGTGTTGGGGCAAAGGTTTGAGTTACCGTTAATATTTGTCATGTTTCTTTAATAAACGTCATTGACCATTAAAGGAAGGGATGTGTCGCAGTCAACTAATGGAATTGTTTGTAGCTTCTCAGAGTGCCACCTGTGGACAGGAATGTATGGAATGGGTTTTATTTAGTTGAGCAACTGTGAGTCCTTTTAAGTTCTTCAGTACTGTTTATTGGGTATCATACCTGATTTGCTGTTAAAATAGAGAATACCTTGCCAGGTTCCCTTCTATCTGTCCATTAGCATATATATAATAGGTGCCAAGTAGACATCTATTGAAAGAATAGATACCCGTTGAAGAAAGGTGTTCTTTGGAGATACAGTGTGAAGACACTGAGTCCATTTATGCAGGTTTAACATCCCTGATAAGCCTCTGACTGAAAACTCATGTTTGTTTTTTTCTGTTAGGATATAGGTACTGCCCTTGTTTCAGACACTACAGATGACTTGTGGTTTTTGAATGATTCAGTATCAGAGCAGTTAGGTGTTGGAATAAAAGCTGAAGCTGCTGATACTGAACAAACAAGTGAAGAAGTAGGGAAAGTGAATGATAAGAAGGTACGTTGTGGAAAAATTTCACATTGATTGTATTTATGTGTGCATTGCATAACCTATTCAGGTCTGGTGGCCTGACCTATACCTCTTTGTACAACAAATTACTCTCACAATTCCCCCTTTTTATCTTTTAATATTTTCTTATATCCAATTTTAGGATTCCTATTAAGTTAATGAAGACTGCCTCAAACAATAGAAGAGGGTTTCCTGGGTAAAGCTCTTCTTTAGAAGCAGTAAGCTACCCTTTCTCTGCTTGTCGAGGCATATGGTGGAGGGGCAGCGGTGGTTCAGCTGTATAGTCCTAGCCTGCTGCCTGGAGACCCATGTTTGATTCTGGCCAGTGCACCTCATATGCAGCTTCCATCCATCTGTCAGTGGAGACTTGCATGATGCTGTGATGCTGAACAGGTTTCAGTGGAGCATACAGACGAATATGGACTAGGGAGAAAGGCCTGGAAATCTATTTAAACTCGGCCCTGTGGATCGCAACAGTCCAATCCCCAACCACTCATGGGGATGGCATAGAATCAGGCAATGTTTTGTTCCATTGTACATGGAGTCACATGAGTTGGGGGGCTGCTAACAACAATAATAAGTCTTGTTTGGGGTTTTTTCTTCTGGAAACCTTGCTTTGCCTAAGAGGCAAAGATCTAAATGGCTTAAACTCCCTGTAGGAAGAAATCCTTATTTCTTGGAATTCTCTCTAGCTTCCACGACCATTTTATATCTAAATGGAAAGGTAGACGATTACTTGCTACATATTTTAGAGTTAAAATAGGGGAAAGGAGGGGTGCTTGAACTCTTGAGTACGTATGGTGTGAGCACACCAAGATGAAAAGATATACAGGCATGTACTCAAGTCTCAAAAGAAATTTGGCAGCAAATCCATTGCACAGCACATGGAGATACTCCTAATAAACATTCATTAAATAACTGTAGCAAAAAACATACCTAAATTTGGTCATCCTTTTGTTCATTTATTTAAGGGATTGTTTTAGAAATTTGAGTTCCTGAGGACTCTCTAGGGGACCCCTGGTGGCTTGGCCGCTAACAAAAAGGTTGGTGGTTCAAACCCACCAGCTGCTCCGCAGGGGGAAGATGTGGCAGTCTGCTTCTGTAAAGATTTAAAGTCTTGGAAACCCTGTGGGGGCGGTTCTGCTCTGTCCTTTAGGACCACTGTGTGTTGGAATAGAGTCTACGGCAACGGGTATTTGAGGACTCTCTTAGACTAGTTAGGTGGGTAGCATTAGAAGGGAGTGCAGATGGCTAAATTGAAGACAAAAGTGACATTTGGAAACTTTTTCTAGAGAAAGATGGGGTTTAAAATACTTGAACTTTTGTGAAAAGGTGGTTATACAATGGCTAATAGTTGGTTTTATTCTACTTACTAGACCACAGAACTGGGCTTTTGATTTTTCATCTTTAGAAGATACATCCTTGACATTTCTTGACTTTGTTCCCTGATCCTGGGCGTGTTTTTATAGGGTAGCCAGATTATCACGTAACTAATTTTACTCTTGAATGTGAAAAGTAAAATTGTATTTTATTTTTTTTAGATAATATCCCTAATTGTATATTACTTAAACTTTTTTTTAAATGTACTTTAGATGAAGATTAAAAGTAAAATTTCAAAATACTATGTTTCATTCTTCACATCTTTATATCTAGCCTGTATTTTATACAGTGCTTTTTACTTTCATTTTCTCACATAATCCTTATTTATTCTTGTGAATGCCTACCTGGATTCCCAAGATAAAAATTTCCACATTTAATAATTAGTAGCTTTTGTGCCCTGATATATTTCCTTTAAAACCTAAAGTTTGGGCGCCCACTCTTTCTGAACGCAGAAGGTGTCTGGTGACTCCTGTGGGTTCTTGTTAGTCGTGTATTCTACTGAAAAGCCAGCTGGGTATATGGAATCATCTTTTTAGTCTCACATTTAAGCTGTCTCCTTTTTAAGTGCTAGAGATGGAACGTGGGTTTTTAATTGAAGCTGTTCTGTCTGTGTTTGCTCTCATGTAATAACCTCATCTAAAACAGGTAAACTTTACTAAGAAGATATCTTTGCCTTCACAGGTGATTGAAGTGGAAAAAAATGATGACTTTGAGGACTCTAAGTCCTTAAGCGATGATACTGATACAGAAGTTACCTGTGAGGTATGGGTCGGTAGTAAAAGGGCTGTTTTGCATAGGCTACATCTTCAGATAATGTCATCCCAGGAGTTCACTTGTGTCAAAGAGTGCCATCCCCCCCACCCCCCTTCCTATCTACCTTTCCTAGGTGCTAAGAGATGTTGGTGTCTTTACATATTGTTAGAGGTTTGTATTGGAATTTGAAAAGGGAAGGGGATGATTTGATCTAATCCTCTTCCTGCCTAGAAAAGGGCTGATGGTCTCTCAGTGTGCGCCCTTTTCCCTGCTGTCAGAACTCTTTGGACGTGATGCAGTGGGTACATAAGTATTCAGAATTGTTCTGTACTACTTTTCCTCATTAAACGCCTCTCTGTAATCTCAAAGACAGACCTATAGACTATCTGAAATTCTTTGTCTAGTATAAAAATGTTTTCAGTGCTTTCTTAAAAAGAAATGAATTTCCATACAGATTTATATTAGTGAAGGGCTGTTAAGAAGACTTGATATTAAGCTCTTGGTTAATAGGGTATGAACTTGTCACCAGTTGACAACTTAGGCTTAGACTCAAATGTATATCTTGCTGTTCTCTTTACATACCATTTCCCAGTTTTCTTTGTAGTACTTCCATCAGCTAGCTCACTGTGTGGGGACAAGGGTGGTGGGGGAAGGATAAGAAGGACATTTTACCTTTTGTTCCTTGGTAATAAAAATTTCTTAGGTTGTCTGTGGAGTTGATTCACCCTCCCATCCCTACCCTGCTGTTGACCATTATGGTAATTCATTGCAAATTACCTGACTGAGTTTAGCTAAGTAATAAAGTGAAACGTATTGGTCCTGTAAGTGTTCTTGACCATAATAGAAATAGCAGAGGTAAGTTTTTCCGTCTTAATCAGACTTCTGTGGCTCCTTGGGGCCAGAAACTATTAAGCATATAGACTGTATTTCATCAACTCAGAGATGCCATTGAATTTAATAAGCCCTATTTATGTAGTCCTAAAACAGAAAAAGTGATGCCAGTTAAACTGTGACACATCATCAGTTAAGAATTCCAAATCTTTATAGAGTTCCTTTGAGTATTTCTATAACATTTCAGATGAGATCTGGTTAACAAAGGGCCATGTCTTTGCCTCTCAGTCAAGACAACTGAGTTATGACTCTAAAGCTGAAAAGAAGTTGGCCTTCCTGCAGAAAGTAATCAAGTCCGCCTGTTTCAAATCATTGGTCCTGTCAAAGCTAGGCAATTAATCTGAATTACACTAACTACCCTGGACTTTTTCTGGGTAGCTACCTTTGAATTAAGCAAGCAAGGCATTTGGAATTCATTGAGTTCTAGTATCTCCTAATTTGATACAGAGAAGTAGGAAAAAAATTATTTTTCGTTCAAGGACAGGAACCTTCAAAGGTGTGATTTAGGCATCCAATTAGCTGTCTGAGAGCATGAGTAAATTTACTGGTTTTCAAATCTTATTTTAGTTTCAACTTCCTTTTTGCCAGATTTTATTACATTTGTTAATTAATAGGGAAGAATGACAGAGTATTATCTCTTCATTCTTTAGCCTCTCCTCTGATAAAGGAGTAGGTTGTGCAAAGAGAAAGGACCTAACAGAAGACAGTAACTTTCGTAAAGAAAACTGTATAAAATTTAGGTTTGAAAATGGCATTTGTGGTGCTATCAGTGTTAAACTTCCCAAGACTTTCTTACAGGTAGCTGTAGAATTTGTTCATATCGTATGCCAGGCCACCGTTGTGGACGGTCTGGAAGTTCTCTAGCTTAGTGAGATGATGAGGATTTGGCTTCCCCTCCCCTTGTCTCAGATCACGTTCAGCAGTGAATGAGTGTTAATCAGCTGCACTTGTCTTTGTAGGATGAGTGGCAATGTACTGAGTGCAAGAAATTTAACTCTCCAAGCAAGAGGTACTGTTTCCGTTGCTGGGCCTTGAGGAAGGATTGGTATTCAGATTGTTCAAAGTTAACCCATTCTCTGTCCACCTCTGATATCACTGCCATACCTGAAAAGAAGGAAAATGAAGGAATTGATGTCCCTGATTGCCGAAGAACCGTTTCAGCTCCAGTCGTCAGACCTAAAGATGGATGCATAAAGGAAGGAGACTCCAAACCTCTTGATCCTTGTAGCTCCGTGGAGTTCTTGGATTTGGCTCACAGCACTGAAAGCCAAGAGACCATCTCAAGCATGGGAGAACAGCCAGATCACCTTTATGAACCGAGAGCAGGTGCAGAAAACATGGAGGAGTGCCAGACTCTCTTGAAGCCATGTAGCTTATGTGAGAAAAGGCCACGAGATGGGAACATAATTCATGGGAGGACAGGTCATCTTGCCACGTGCTTTCACTGTGCCAGAAGATTAAAGAAGGCTGGGGCTTCTTGCCCTATTTGCAAGAAAGAGATTCAGCTGGTTATTAAGGTTTTTATAGCATAGCTGAATCAGTGAGTTCCTAATAGGGTCAAGTCAGGAGTCAGAACATCAGTATCGAGTGTCTCTACTCAGTTTGACCCATTGCATCTGTTCATTTATTCATGTAAACATCTGTGTTCTGGGGCGGTTTTGCTTCTTAAACTCATATGGAGTTTGAGAGCGAGTTCCTTAAATTAGATGATCAATTTGGAGACTCCATTAACATGAAAAGATACATTAATCACCTCTCCCTCCAAAGATGAGTATCTGGGAGGGAGCAATTACCAGTAAAATGTAAGAATACATTCATTTATTTGAAAATTAATCCTTCCTTTAGTTAATTTTATTCCCTGCCTTCCTATTCTTTTCTGTTAGGAAATATTCTTAGGCTCAAAATCCATGGCAGCTATTAGAAAAATATTTAAGGTAACAGTGAGAGAACGGTAAATAATTTGGTTGGTCAGTTTATGTAGGGCTGTGGATTTCTTTGGAGCCCTGGTGTCACAGTGGTTAAGACCTGTGGCTGCTAACCAAAAGGTTGGCAGTTCAAATCCACCGGTGACTCCTTGGGAACCCTATGGGGCAGTTCTGCTTTGCCTAGAGGGCTGTTATGAGTCGGGATTGACTCCAAAGCACCGGGTTTGGTGGGTTTTGGTTTTTTATGGATCATTTTATGTTGCAGTCAAGCTACATGGTTCTGAGAAACCAAAATGAAAAGTCTTGGGGAAAAAAGAAATTTCTTTCACATATGCTTTGAACAGTGGTTATCAAGCATTTTTGCTAACATATTCCTAAAAGAATTTTGAAAAAGTATATACCAGTTTACACATTAAAAAAATTAAGGTATAGTTAACATACACTAAAATGTTCCCTTTCGATGAGTTGTAGACATAGGAGTAAATACCAACCAAAATAAGTTATGGGAGGTTTCTATCACCCTGGAATCTTCCCTTGTCCACCTTTCCAGGCAGTCCCTCAGCCATTCCTGATTCTCACCCTGAATTGGTTTTCCTTTTGCTCATCTATAATTTCACATCTAAGTTTTAAATATAAATGTTAAGTACTTAAAAAGGATATACTATTCAACATATGTGCTTTAAAGATATTTTTATCAAAGCCTTGGGAACTGTAGATCTGGCTGGTTAAATTTATAGAAAAAGCCCTGTCATATATATAGGCAAAGCTTGTACTCATTTTAAAATTAAGCAGCCAAATCAGACTTCACCTTCAGTCAGAACATGTCTGACTTTATTTTTAATTAATAAATGGAATAATATATGTCTCAGGCATAACCATCTTAGTTCTCAGTTCTAAAATAGATAGAGAAGGTACAGAATTTTTAACCAAAATTCTCGGCTTTACTCTCTGTCCTCCCTATTCCTTAGGAGTTTGTGGGGTTTCTTTGTCCCCTTGGTGCCTCTAGAGGTTTTTACATTCTGAGGCAACACCCCATAGTAAGATTCTGGATGGTGAGTCTTTGTTTTTTGAGAACAGGGAGTATAGCAGTTGTGGAAAGAGAAGTAGTTAAAGAGAAATGATAGATCTGAGGTGCATTAATTTTAGGACAATATATATGGAAATCAAAGATCTTTAAATTGATTTCCTTGTAGCTGTCCATATCTGCTTACCCCATGGAAAAATCTTGGTGTGTCCCCAGAGGTATGAATATGTTATTTTGAAGATCAAGGTCCTAGAATAGTCCAACTTGAGTGGAAGGATCACCTGGGTTGGTTGGTAACAGCACCTAACCCCCACAGAGATTTTGGTCCTTGACGCCTGGGAGTTTGCATTTGAACTAGCGTCCCTAGAACTAGGGGAGCACCGATGTGAGTGGTCTGCTGGCCACATTTTGCGATCCCTGCCCCTAGAAGGGTTTCTCCCCGTTTTTCTGAATACCAAGCAGAAAGTGGGCAGCACCAAGATAGTTTTATTTAGCATAATATTTAGTTTCTAGAGAGGAATTTTCATTAAAATTCCAGACTTTTAAAATTAGAATGTACTCCTACTGAAACTTTCTTATTTTGCACTTGAAGCTAAAGAGGATTAAATGACTTTGCAGAAAGTCACAGCTATTGATAGAGCTCTTACTAGAATCCAAGTCTCTTGACTAGTAAATCTTTAAACCTTCCTTCTTCTTTTCTATTAAATATTTTTTAAGTAGTGGTGCTTGTTGAATTTGGGGCAACTGATAACCTTAAAATATAGGTCATCTACTAAATGGTGTTGGAGAATATGGCTTGTGGCCAAAATAGGTCTTTAGAGAGAACAGTGACTTTTAATACTTTATCTGTCCCCAAAGAGAAAAGGCCCAGTAAAAGTCAGACTTTGTTATCTAATCAGATAAGTTACTCCTCCCACTGGGAGACAGGTGAAGGTGGCAGGGGGACCTGAACCATTTTCTCCAATATTGCTCTTTCTTTCCTGGGGAATGAAGCTGCATTCTGGCTCTCTAGGCCTTAGGGACAAAGGCTTTTCCCCCAACAAGCCGAACCAACCCTCTGAGTTAAATATTTTGTTAGCCACGCTGGATGCTCTAAAACTTTAGAAAGTTAAATTAACTGCCTCCCTGTTTTCCCCCAGTAATGCCCTCTTCATAATAGTTTGATTGATAGCCCCCATTTTCTTTTTGCCTGTCAGGTGCTTTTGCAGATGATAAAGGGGGTGGGGGGAGGCCTGGGGGCCTGCGCTTGCCATCGTGTGATCCCCTTTATATAGAGTTGCAGTTTTTATAAAACTTAGAAGAATTTTTAGAATTTATTTATGTTTGTAGATATTTGATGCTAATTTCGGTACATCCCTGTCCAGCAGAGTCCTCTTAGGTGACTCTCCTGTCCTCCTCCTGTCTGCTGACCTGGATTTTTTCTTGCTCGCATCAGCACTGCTAAGCACTTTGCTTAGAAGACCCTAAGCTGTGTGTGTGAGCTGAACCTCATCTTTACCTACAGGAAACTTTAAACCATCCTTTTTGATCTGTTTTTGATTTTGTTCTTTTTTCCTTGCCACTGCCACGTGCACATATTTTTAACTCACTGCCACGAAAGCGAGTCATGATTCATGTGTGAAGTCCTCAGAATTTACTACTGTAAGATAAAGAAGGAACAGACTCTTGACTTCCAACACTACCATTCATTTTATTTTTTTTTAATTATTGTTTACTTGTGTTATTTGGGGACCACAACGTGAAATAATACAATTTTTAAATTTTACCAGCTATTAAATCACTGATACTCAGTGTCGTTTCATTTTATGGTACTTTTTCACTTTTTAAAATCTAATTTACATTTTGAAGATGCCGCACTCATTGGCAACCTATAGCTAGGTAGATAGCTTGCGTAGTTGCTGCCTAGTCGACTCCGGCTCACGGCAACCCTGTGTACAGCAGGATGAAACATTGTCTGGTCCTCTGTCACTCTCACAATTGCCAGCATGTCCGAGTCCTTTGTGGCTGCTGTTGTGCCAGTCCATCTCAACGTGGGTCTCCCTTACCCTTCGTGGCCCTCCCCTTCACCAAACGATATTCTCGAGTGATCCCTCCTGATGTGTCCCGTGGAAGTGAGTCAGTGTTCTGTTTTGATCCATAGGTTTTCATTTGTGCTAAGTTTCAGAAGTAGCTCACCAGGCCTTTCTTCCTAGTCTGTCTCTGCTATTCATCTTTTAGCTGTAGGTAGGGTGACCATATGCTCTGGTCACTTTCCTGTTTTTTAGCATTCCACCCAGTGTGTCTCCTTTCACTCTGAAAAGTCTTTATTTGGACGTTAAATTATGTCGTCACCTTAGTGTAAGCAAGCTGTGCTTGAGTTTACATTTTGATTGTGAGGAAGTGTGCATCCGAGGAGTTCAGCATTTCCTGCTGCATCATGCCGTAGACTTTTTTTTTTAAATTGTTGTGCTTTAAGTGAAAGTTTACAATTCAGGTTAGTCTCTCATACAAAGATTTATACACACATTGTTATGTGACCCTAGTTGCTCTCCCTGTACTGTGACAGACACTCCTCCTTTCCGCCCTGGATTTCCCGTGTCCATTGAACCAGCTCCTGACCCTCTCTGCCTTCTCATCTCACCTCTGGACAGGAGCTGCCTATTTAGTCTCATGTATCTACTTGAGCTAAGAAGCACACTCTTCACGAGTATCATTTTATGTCCCATAATCCAGTCTAATCTTTGTCCGAAGAGTTGGCCTCAGGAATGGTTTTAGTTTTGAGCTAACAGAGAGTCTGGGGGCCATGTCTTCCGGGGTCCGTCCAGTCTCAATGTAACTGTTAAGCCCGGTCTTTTTACTAGAATTTGAGTTCTGCACCGCACTCTTTCCTGCTCCGTCAGGGACTCTCTGTTGTGTTCCCTGTCAGACATCATAGACTCTCGTGAATAATGACATCACCTGACAGCATCAGATTTCTTAGCTTAGTTTCAGTTAATATTTATGATCATGTAAACTGGACAGAAAGTTTAGAGCAGAAATGATGAATCATTAGAAAAACAATGAATTTCTGGATGATAGCTAAAAAAAGGTTTTCTGTCTCTTCATATTAACTCACTGTCTTGCAGTGTGCTTACGGTATTTGATATGATTTGTATCTAGTACCTAAATCAGACTTTTAAACATCTTAGATAAAGCCTCTCAGCGACATCACCGTCTCCACAGTCCGTCTGTGAAATTTTACAGGGTCACGCTCCTAGGCCTCAACAGTGGATCTGAGTCCAGCCACACCCAGCTGCAGACTGCCAAGAACTTCCTTATATAAGACTAATTCACTGCCAAGCATTTGAATTATGCAGTTGTGTTTGAATTGTAATTTTATGTGTATTTAGATGTTTGTAATGCTTTGTGGGACATTTGGTTTAAGAATTTATTTTTAAAGGTCAGTATCACCTGTAGCAGATTTTTTTGGTGTCACCTAAGTATGCCTTTGAAAAGTCATTAATGAGACTTTGAAAAGTCATTAATGAAAAATTGGTAATATCACTTGGATTGTATAAAAGCTGTCACCGTGTTACCTCTTGATTCTCTTTAGAAAGGAGGACACTTGTCAACCAATTGTTTGTGTTTTTTTCCACAGTTATGTGAACTTTTGAAAGTACTTGGCTTTAGATACTGTGAATCTTTGTTTTCCATTTAACCAGTTACCTTCTTAAATTGTTCAGCCCTATTCTAAAGAACAATACATTTTGATGTTTCCCCCATTTGTGGGTATACATGCAGGCACGGACACCGTAAGGATTGTTAATGTCTTTGCTAAAAATGGCTGTAGGTTAGGAACTAGCTGTGTTTAGAATCTGTACTTCAAAGGTAAAGGAACTTGCAAACTCGCCTCTGTGCCAAAAGGAAAATGTACTATGTTTACAGATGTCGGGGATTTTGCACTGCCATAGGGAACGCTTAGGTCACCGTGCTGGATTTCTCACAGTTGAGATTAGAGTTTAGCAGATGAGGGGAAGTAGTGAGGACCTTAAGGCTAAACTGGAAATGAGAAGTATCTGAGGTAGTGGTTGAAGTGACTGCCCAGATACAACTTGGAGATCGTTTTTCCTGGTTGCTTTGAGACATGCTTACTGCCTTCCAGTGCTGTGTTCTTCCTTTGTGGGAGCCAGCAGATCGCTTCTCTTGTGGGAGGATTTCCCATAAGCACTTTGAGATCTTTGATGCAGTGAACATGCAATCCCAAGTAAAGACATTGGTGGTGAATGTGGTATTGTTAAAGAAGACACTGCAGCAGACCTGCACTTGAGTTGACTGTGTTCTCTATTAAGAGCCTTTTGAATGACGAAAGATGTCCCAGAGGGAAGAAGCGTATCTGCACAAAGAGGTAGTTAATATTTTTTCGTAGCTTATCTGAAATCCAAGATGTTGCTTCCACCTGCAGTTTGTTTTCCTTTGTGTAGGATCATCATTTATGCATTGTGGGTGCATAGTGCAGCTAGTAGAAGTCCCTGTCTCCTGGGCTGGGAAGGGTCGAGGAGACCTAAAAAGGGCCAAATAAGCTATCAGAGCAATTCCTTTCTCAGCACGGTTGCTGAAATTTGGAAGATGCTTTATTGAAAATTGACATTATCATTATAACACTTGAGTTTATTAGAGCATCTGCTTACTTATCCTAGGACGTGTTTTCTTTTTTTTTTTTTTTACTTTAGATGAAAGTTTACAGAATAAATGAGCTTCTCATTAAACAGTTAGTACACATACTGTTTTATTGACATTGGTTAACTACCCCATGTTTTCTTTTTTTTTTTAAACTGTTAAGCAATTTTATGTCAGTAGACATACCCTTTTTTTTCCCCCAACTTATTGTTGCTCTTACTTCCTCTTAGTTGAAAGTTATTTTCTGTTAGTGAATATTGCTTGTATACCAGAGGCCATCTGCACCACCTCCTGGGTGGTTGTAACTACAGTATCTTTAAGATAAGATTTCCCTTTTCCAGGCGGTCCCAGGGAATTTTCTTTTGCAGTGTTAGATGAGAAGTTAGAAGGGAAACTCTGACGCCAGAGCTACTGTCTAACAGGGTCACAGCTTGAAGTCAGAGGCCTCCTTTGTGCCTGTGGAGGGGGAGCAGGGCTGTTGTCTCAGCGCTGAGGAATTGAGGTCAGCTCTCCCTCTCTCCTTCTAAGGGAGGAGCATTTTTTCCTATAGCTTGCTTCATTTTTTTCACTTCCCTTGTAATAAGAATCAGAATGTCTCTTGGCTTTTTTTCCTTCCCCCTTTTAAAACAGTAGAAAATGCTTTAAAGGAAGGAGTGTTTCTTGATCTCCTGACCACTCTGCGATGCAGACATCATAACCAGGCTCTGAATGGGATCTCCTTCGTGCATAGCTGTGTACTGTTAAATGCGCTGTGAAGTGCCTCTTGGGTAGAGATAAAGAGTAAGATTATTCCACCAGTCTTGAAACCTGGTTCAGTCATGTTTCTTGACCTTCCCAAGCCTCATTTTTTCTTATCTGTAAAATGAGTACACATACCTACCCTTTCTACCTCATGGTTTGTTGTGGGGATTAAGTATGAGGGAGCAGTTTAAAACCTATAATCGCTTTGAATAAGATAAGAGGAGTCATGCTCTCCATAGACCAAGCTCTGGAGTTTGTGTTCAGGATAACCTCGTATTGTGGAAACAGCGCAGCTCTCCTTTCTGCCTGCCCAGCAGAGCTGACGGTGCTTCTTATGAGCTGCCTTACCCACGCCTCTAGCGCACGTGTCCTTTCCTTGACATGAGACTCTTGATCAGAAAAGAGTTCTATCTCTGGGTTCTGTAAGAAGCGTGTGTACATTTGGGTGGCAGAATCTGTCCCGATACAACTGCCTGGCTGTGGTCTTGATCTACAAAAATTCTCTTTCTACATGTGCTCGAGTAAAACCGTGTAAAATCTACTGCCAGTGTACTGAAAATATGCAGTTTTCCAAATAACATTTCTGATAAGGTAGTCAGAATCAACAGACGTAGCAAATGTGGTTTTATAAAGTGGGAAGAAAAAAGCTGTCTCAAATCACTGTTGGAATAGCGTCCAGCTCAGTACCATGTGCAGGTTGGTGCTGACTGAATGAGGAAGGAGGGAGAAATGGGTTCTTGCCTAGTCTTCTTTATAAGCCCCACTAAGTTAATAACTCTGTGTGTCTTGTTGGCATTTGCACTATGTAATACTTTTAATAGCTGTTGATTCTGTTGTGCTATTTTGTGCATTAAATATTTGTCATTTTGTGGTGTCATTATTGGGGAGGTATGTATGGAGTTTTTGTTTGTATACAACAAAATAAAATCTGTTTCTGTCGCTACACACAATCTTTGGTTTGATTTGGGAAAGAGGAAGAATAGCTTTTGCATTAAAGGTTCCTGGACTTAAAATCAACAGCAGCTTTAGATATTTGCTGCCTAGGCACCTGTGAGGGTAATTGTATTTCATTTTTAGGTTCCCAGTTCTGAAGGAAATGTTGAGGTTTTGTAGGATTAGTTTTTTTGTTTTGTTTTTAAACATGAGCTAGTTAGGCAGTGAAATTGTGAAGTTACACCAGAGTTGTTGAGAATTAGAGAATATATAGTACCTGCGTGTCTAGGTGATTTAAGACAAGCCCTCCTTTGAGGCAGAAGTTGGGCCTTTTCTGGGTCCAGGATTATATTAACTTGCCCACCCTCATTGCAGTCAAAAAGATTTCAAATGATGAGATAATAAATTTACCTCTTTGCTTATTAAGTTTGCAGAGAGGTGCCAGGTCCAGGGTTCTCACTTCCTTGTGATTTAGAATTGGGGCTGGTGTGAGAGGTATGCAGGGTTTGTCACAAAGTACGAATTAAATCACTATGGAGCCCGGCATCTGTTAGGGTCTCTGGCAGTGGTTCTTAGCTTTTGGGGACTATTCCAGAAAACCAAACCCCTTGCTACTGAGTCATTTCTGACTCATAGTGACCCTACAGGATAGAGTATAACTGCCCCATAGGGTTTCCGAGGCTGTAATTTTACAGAAACTGACTGCCACATCTTTCTCCCACAGAGCGGCTGGTGGGTTCGAACTACCAACCATTCAGTTAGCTACTGAGCACTTAACCACTGCACCACCAGGGCTCCTTTTGGGGATTATACCAAACCACCAAACAAAACCCACTGCCATCGAGTTGATTCTGACTCACAGTGACCCTTTAGGGCAGAGTAGAACTGCCCCCATAGGGTTTCCAAGGAGCATCTGGTGGGTTCAAACTGCCGACCTTAGGTTTAGCCTTCGAGGTCTTAACCGCTGCACCACCAGGGCTCTTTAATTAAATGTAAGAAATCTCTTATTAAAAATACATACCATTTTACGTTTAATTTCAGGCGCTTCATTGAAGCCACTGGCTCATGGCCCTCTTGTTCTGTTTGGGGAGTTACTGAAGAAGAGTAGACTTGTCCACAGAGAGCTTGCTAGCCCACTTGCTTTTCAAAAGGGCATTAACATAGCTGAGGTCATCAAGGTGAGTGAAACACCGGGTCGATTGTCCTGAACTTAGGGTGT